ACATTCTTGACTTGCATTAACTGATTCAGTGTTCACCAAGACTGCATAGAACAACCACAAACATTACTCCAATCTGAAGATAGAAACACAGGCACAGCATATATCTTGGTCAATGTCTGGTCAAGAGTCCAATTTCAGAATCTCAGTACTACTATGAACATCTCATTGATTTTTCAAGATCAAAGTCATATGGAAAACTTACCACTCTAGTATAGATTCTCAGCAGCAAGAAAGGAAAAGATAGTCTAATCTCAAAGAGCAATGGAGTGTTTCTGACTGAGAAGAGATAAAAGCACACTCTCTGTCATCATGATTTCAGTGTCAACACCACCAGGGGCCATGTTCTCTCCTCTGCCTTCCAGATGGCAGCTATTTGTCTCTAGGCCAGTGGATCCCAACAGGAAGTCTTAAAAGAGACAGGAGACAGAAAAACAGACCATACCCCAGCTCCCATGCCCCAGCCCATCTCAGCATTTGTAGTAATATCCCTTCACTAAGTTCAGAAAGATATTCTTTACAACACTCTTGAGTTTTCCTTTCTGTTGACTTTCAAGATCATATGATGTAAACTAGTGGTAGAGATGCATCATTTCTTCTCTCATTCAAACCAACCCTGTAAAGTAGTGCTAGAGATGCATCATTTCTTCTCCCATTCAAATCGACCCTCACCCTCCTCTGAAGTAATCCAGATGCCAGGACTGCACTATCCCTTCACTACCCTTTCCATCACTCATTTAAAACATGTTGATCTAGAGGCTCAGGAGATAGCTCAATTGGCAGAGAGTTTTTAGTGCAAGCATGAAGACCTTAGTTTGATCCCCAGAACCCATATGCAAGAGCTGTGTTGGCATGTATTTATAATACCATCGATGGAAAGACCTATGGACCTAGGGTTTGCTAAGTGACCAGCACAGACCACTTGGTCAGTAAGACAAGTTGTCAAAGAAAAACAAAATGGATGGCATTTGAGGTTGATGCATAAGGTTCACTTCTGAGTCCCAAACACAAAAGCACACATATGCATGAACACACAAACAAGCACACACATGTGCATATACACACAAAGACACAGAGAGTGTATGTAAATAAACGAACAAATAAATAAATGCTTATTCAAAACAAATGGGCTAGAATTGACCTGCTCAAAGTACAATTGCTAAAAGGTGCTAATTGTCTATTAAAGGTTTGGACTTTATTTTTCAAATTGGTATCCAAATGGGAATATGGTGCAGGGTCAATGTTCAGTTCCATGTTTATTGCTACTTCTTACATATCCCAATTAATTCTGCATTCAAGGCTTTTACAAGGCCACACCAGGGTGCTCTACACAAAATTCCCAATTGCTTCGTAGAAACAAATACAGCACAGTAATTAAATAAGTGAGTATGTTATTATTGCAATATCAAGTTTTCAAGTGAGCATCACTACCCATTAAAATCAAACAACCAACAGGTCCCAAGTCACCATCTAATTTAATGTATCAACTCCAATGCTCGGGAGAGTCTTCAGAATCCAGAGTTGTCTTCCATGTAATGTCAACTGTCATTATAAAGAACTAGAAGGTACCCTTTCTCACAAGCTAACTATGGTCTCTAAGATATGAACTCAGGCTAATAACCGACATGGTTAGGGCTGTCCAACCTCCTTGCAGTTTTGTGCATCTTGCTGGAAGAACCATGGTTACCAAACAGAGAACATCACTCTTAAGAACAACTGTACAAAACTGGACATAAGGGAAACAAGTTGGCTGTTTTCCTCCTGTCCTGCTAGAGCATAATCCAGTTGTATAACCACTTGGCTCCCGAGAAACAACATAGCTGTTAGTTTTAGAGTTTTTACTCATTAAGGTCCACAAATCGGATGCCTCTAAAAATTTGAGTTCCTCAAAGGCTGAGGAGCCCCCAGCTGGATCAGGCCCTCTGAATAGGTGAGACAGTTGATAGGCTTGATCTGTTTGGGAGGCAACTAGGCAGTGGGACCGAGTCCTGTGCTCATTGCATGAGTTGGCTGTTTGAAATCTGGAGCTTATGCAGGGACACTTGGCTCAGTCTGAGAAGAAGGGACTGGACCTGCCTGAACTGAGTCTACCAGGTTGATCGCAGTCCTGGGGGGGGGGGAGGATTTGCCCTGGAGGAGGTGGGAATGGGGGGTGCACTGGGGATAAGGGGAGGGGGGGGGAGGGGGGAGAATAGGGGAACTGGTGGCTGATATGTAGAACTGAATGGTATTGTAAAATAAAATAAAATAAAAAATAAAAAATAAAAAAATGGGTTCCTACTTAAAAAAACAAAAACAAACAAGCCAACAAAAAGAAGTCTCACATTTTGCCAGTCTATTATGATGAGCCACTTAGTATAGGCTTTGATTTTTAAATCCTGTAGCATATTAGCCGAACAACCAGCAGGGTATATATCATCAATTTTATATCATCTTTCAATTTTGTATCTGGCTATATAAAATTCTTATTTTCACATCCCAGTTTTCAAACCAATTTTTTTATTTCCTGCTAGCTTCCTCATTAGTTAGCTGTGGAGCAATTACCTCTGACTTAAGATTCTTAGAGGAGAGTTCCTTAACACAGAAACGTCTAAAGGGAAGCTCCTTCAAACTCAGGAAGAAAACAACTCAGATATCTGAGGACATTGCTGAAATTAAGATTCGTAAGGCTCAGTGTCCCCGAGATAATACAATCAGTATGGACTCTTTAGATGAGAACCTCAAATCTCTAGAACTGCCTTCAAGTTGGGCAAAGAACTCTGGGGTTTTAGCTTTCATGAATTGTCACTCATGCTGGGGTGGGCTTTGTGAAAAGCATCTGCCTTTGAGTTGTCCATGCTCCTTGAAGTAACCCTTACCCACATTCATGTAAGTAGCCCCAACAAACTTACTGGCCAACCAAGATGGATTTTGGTGGTATCATGACTACGATCTGTCATTAGTTCCCTATCTGGGGTTTGCAGCCATTTGTTCATCTCACCAAAAATATTCTCAAGCAACAATTAGTTACAGAATTGATTCCATTAAAATATAACAGTGATATGTTAGATAAACATCTGATATTAATCAAGGCATCGGGGTGCAAAGTCATAGCCTGTATTGGAAAAATGAAATGTGAAAATCTCCCTGGACTTTCTTACTCATCACAGATGACAAGGTTTGCATGGCAGCATAGGTGAAAATGAGATGTCCAGAAGAATGTCTTCAAAGTTGTGCTAGCTGCATTTGAAAATTGTGGATTAGTTCACAGAAGTACTCCAGGTGCCCTGGAGGAACTGCCCTTGGAGAGGAGCTGCTGAGCATGGCATACACTCTTAGCACTAGATTTAAAGTACATGTTTAAAGCAGAATGGATGTTTCAATGCTGGGCACTAAAGTTCACACTACTAGGCTCTATCTCTTATTCACAAATGTCCTTTGGCCGGGGAGAACAAGTTCTTACAGGAGCAAGTTGTAATTAAAGAACAGATTACACAATCTTGAACAGCTGGACAAACATATTTTAGACAAAATAGTTTATTTTTTAACTTTCCATTTATGCTGTACAATGCTCTAAAGTAGTCTGGAAGCAGCTAAAGCCTATGTGTTGTGTCACCATTTGCTGTGGACCTGATTATATACCCCTATTTTACCTGATTCTCATTTTATAGATTACTTCAGGATTTGTCTTCACCCTCTCTGTCTCTGTCTGTCTGTCTGTCTGTCTCTCTCTCTCTCTCTCTCTCTCTCTCTCTCTCTCTCTCACACACACACACACACACACACACACACACACACACACAGATAAGACAAAAGTTTTTACAATAGAGGAAATGTGCACACACTCTCAGGTCTACCTTCTACTCCCTTCTTCCGAGTATAGTAACCACTGCCTTTTCAGATCATTTTCCTTTAGTGTGTAACTCAGGACGATGGCTGTACCATTTAAAAATGCCAATTTTGTAGGGCAAATATGGTAGAACATTAGCAAATACAGTCATAAGATTCAATGTATATCATTCTTCTAGTAACACTGATGTAGCTAATCTTGCATAGAATACGTGAAATCAAGTTTTACTACTTGTTATAAATTTAATATTTACCTCTTGCAAATCAGAGCATAAAATATTTGGTTTCCTTAAACTACATATGTAGGCAGAAATTAACAGCTCAACTGGGAATCTTAACACACTGACTGGGAACAGCTTTTAGAGAAGATAATTCAAAGATGGATTTAAAATCAATCCCCCAGCAAGCAAAATCAAAGTCTTTTCCAAGTAGCTGTCACGTGGGAGCAGAAGAAGCAGTGTGACATTTTCCTTTCACAGGATATGTGCCACCATGCTGCTTTAAAAGGGAGAAATGAGATAAGCTGATTTTAAGTTTTCAACAGAGCGGCTCCATGGGCCCAGCATGGCTAACAAAATAACATTTCCAGTGAAAATAAGATAATGGGTCAGCTCACAACTCATGTGGTTTTTTGTTTTGGAAGGACCTCTTCAACATCTTCCCCTGGGGAGCCCTGAATGCAGGCTCCCCAGGAAAGAACCTCTTGCTGGGTTTTCTGCTACTGAATCAAGTTGCCCTACCTTGGAAACATGATGGGTGTGAAAGGTGAGGTTTTCTTTTCCTCTATCAGAACGCCCCCCCCCCCCCAGGCTAGAGTTGGTCCCGGTGTGATAGCTGTGGAAGTTGGAGGCCCAAACACACTGCAAACAACAATGTTGTCCTAGTACTCCAGCTCCCTCACCCAAGGTGGTCCTAGCCTTCCCTCTACTGGATTTCCTGGTCCCCCGCACTCCAGGGCATTGCACTAGGCTGTCCTCCTGGCAGTGCCTCAGTCCTCCTGGCTAAAATCCCTCCTGTGGTTTGTCCTTGTCACTGTCAGAAAAAGGTCCTGTGCATCATAATGGCGAGAAGCACAGCCAAGATGACTGAATCCTGAGAGAATGGATGTCCCCTTGTGAGGTCACCACATCATATCACCTTTCTGCTTATTCCAAGTCTCATGGTCTTTCCCTATAGTTTTTTTCTGCTCCTCTGGGGCCTGTCGATCCCTGGCTGCACAGGTGAGGAGGGTAGAGTCCAGGGACCTCTTCCCTGCTTACCTCAGCATAGAAGGAAGATGGGTTTCTAACAGGATTATAAGGGAGATAGCAAGGGATGGCAGAGAGGGAGAAGGACTATAGAATTACGGTTGCAGAGAGCAAAGTTGAAGACACATGTGCCAGTGACTCAATTTTGTATATTTCTACAAAGCCATAAAAAAGTGAAAAGGACAGAACGTACTTATCTAGTCCTTTAATGTCTTATAATGACTGGTCTAAACCAAACATCATTATTAAATCTACAGCCTCTGCTTAAAGGGAAATCTTATGAATGTGTTTCTAAAGTCTACTGCAGAGACTTTTTAGAAGGTAGAAAACTAAATGGCAATTCAAAACTATGTCAGGTCAAAAAGAAAAAAAAAAACTGCTTCAGGATGAACATGAATGTTACATTAAGAGATGCTTCCAGGTTAATCAGGGAACAGAAATGCCTTAAGGGGAGGAGAAGCGAGATAGAGTGCAGGATAGAGTCACTCTTGTGTAGGAGTGACTGCCAATTGCTAGCAAACTGCCTTCCTGTGCAAATGCAGACCAGCTAAACACAGCTGTATAGAGAACAAGCATTTTTTAATTAAGCTTAACATCATATAACAGATGTTGGGTTTTCTCCTCTACCCCAAGGACAGCTCTAATACTGTTTGAGATGGCAGGTGTCAACTGTGCAGTGTGTATGATAAATTGCAGAAACAATGACATAGCATTATTTAACAATTCATTTTAAATATCACTATCATTTAAATATCACTTGTCAGGAAAAAATATAAATTTGCATAAATTTGGCAACAAAATCCATAAAAGAATTTAACCAAGGATCAGAATTTACTTAGAGTGGAATGACATTTTAAAAAATTTCCTGTCACCTTCACTCACTACCATTATTATGAGAGTAGGGCCAAGTATGAAGCAACCCTGTAAACTGAGTCTTCATCAGGAGCCACCATCTTTCTTCCCAGCTGCCTGGAGCACACATCCCTTATCCAGCCCATTCCATGTACATGACTTTTAATCGTGGTCAGTGTTTTCTCTCTTGGGAGTCTGAACCTGTCAACAAGAGTTTAGACCTTGGCTTTCCTTTGCTTGAAGCCAAACGGAATGTCTTAACTACTGAGGAAGAAATTTCCTGTGAAGGAAATCAGTTTTTCTTCAGTTCACAGCTGAGATCATATGTTCTCATCTGGAATCAACAAGATGAGCAAGGGAGCTGATCACGGCATGGGATCGTGAAGACAGGTGAGGACTGGACTATCTGTGGGCATAAGGACAAGTATTTAGAATACAGTTAGGGGTTATACTAGCTTAGTAAAGCGGTGGTTATAGGTTCTCTTCCAAGAACCATTACTTCATTAGCCCTGAGCAGTTGGTTAGGTTAGTTTCTGGTACCAGGCATGGTTTCCCTCTTGTTGATTAGGTCTTAAGTCTAATTAACAAGCTTTTACCTCCAAGGCACATGACACTGGCTTTAGTAATTGTAATATTCTGTTCTCAGTAAGATGAAGGTTTCATTTCATGAGCACCTACTCCAAATTAGCCAACTGAGGACAGTTGTGTAGATCTGTAGCACTACAGGTCGACACAGTTAACAGATATGGAATCCTACTTTGGAGTGTGTTACTTTACTTGGCTCAAAACCAGCAAAATACTGCAGTACTCAAAGAAGCCCCAAGCATTGGAAACCAAAGGTCTCAGCAAAGATGATGATCCAGTAGCAACAAATGAACAGCCGGCTTCTCATGGGTCAAAAGAGCTAGTATGAGTACTGCTGAGGCTCATGCCAGGCCATACCTCTCAGCATACATCTCAGCATCTTCATGCCATAAGCATCCATCAAGAGTAGCTGTTATATACTCAGTAATATGTAATTTAATTAAGAGGGTTAAAAATGCAATCTCAAATTTAACTAGCAAAATATACTTTCAGAGCAGTGTTCTAAGAATTTGCCTAATGAGACATCCTGATACACACCAGTAGTTCTAATGGGACTCTTTTCATTTGGGATAATATAAAACACTAAGCCCTCTCATATGGTGGCAGTTACTTTTAATCTTTCAAAATAACAATAACATGTTTACATGAAGCATGCTACCACCTGTTCCCCCCAAATTCTGCCATTTTCAAAGATGTTTTTACCTTCAATATCAGACTTTAAAATTCCAATCTGGACTTATGAACATATGTGCCAGCGGCTCTTCATATCCATTTACATGGTTGCCATTATACCAGCGCTGGTGTGGGGAGCTGCTGTCTGTACATTCTACCCGATTTTCCAGAGTGTTATAGATTAAATTTGCAAATACTATATGTGTTCTTTCTCTCAGATTCTACTCCTCCTCTCCAGTGAAATTGCAGAGCCTCGCAGGAGACCAGCTGGGGCTGTGAGGAGCCAGTTGCTTCAAGAGGAGGTAAGGGTGGTTAATTACTCTGATGGAGTCTCTTTGCTTTGTGCCAAGAAGAAAATTATGTGTCTGGCTGCCACTGGAAGCGACATCCCTAGATTTGCTTCTTTCTCCTTTTCATAGTTGTTTGCATTCAAAACAGCAGAGTAAATATATTCTGCTTGGAAGCATTTTGATAAAGTAAATTAAATATGCTGCTAGGCTGTGAGAGGTTTTTTTGCGTATTATTAGCCAGTTTGTTTGTCTTTCTAAATTATTTTTTCCAGACTTCCTATAGGTAGGATAAAAACTTTAATGGTCTATATTCTCAAATTTACTTAACTTTCTCTCTGGTCTTATTAATAAGTCACTCTGAACAAATTGAGGGCAATATTTTACACCTTTACAAAGCATCTTGTCTTTCTAAATGGCAATGTGAGTAAAGATAGACTGCGTCTTTGTTTCTGTACATAGAAGGTGGAGGAGTTTTAAAATACACCTAATAAGCCGACTTAGTAGTCAGTGGAAGGAGATTTCTAGCAATGAGAAGGTACAGCCTATGAGCTCTGCAGTCCAGGCTCAGGGTGGGATGCAAAGCAGCCCTGAGTTAGATAGCTGTTTGGGATGGCTACGCTCCTGCTCCACTATCTCAGCAGCTGGAGGAAATTACCGTCCAGAGAGACAGATGCATAATTTGAATGAAACAGATGCAGGCTGTGAAGGAAATCAAACAGCTCAGGGTAATAGGCACAAACAATATTATCAAAACTCTGAGGAATCTTTATTTATTTTTTTCATAATGATAGCAAATGTTGTCATCTTTGTGATACAAGATACCTATACCCATAAAAGGCTTTGGCTTTTTAAAAAAGTCTAAAGAAAGCATGGCACTTCCTAAAGACAAGCCACACACATATGTATCCATAGTTTTCCATTTGGCAGCATTCTTGATACAACAGAAAGACTGGCCTAGGCTTGTTTCCTTACTCCCTCAGCTGCCACACATTCTCTCTTGGAGTCTGTCTTGTGCACAGCCTATCAGGGCAATTGAGCTGTACTTGCTGTGGGGGACAAGGACCAAGAAAGGAAAAATAATGACAAGGTTAAGGCAGTATTTGTTCAGGAGTAACTTAAATGTCATTTCCAATTCAAAATATGTTTGACCCACTTTAATGAGCAAAAGCCTGCACTTAAAACTGCAAGTTGCTCATACACAGGGCCAGATGGTGCCCTTTGGAATAAAAGCACTCTCAAATAGAACATCCCAGGGAGCCCCCACATGCCCTAATGTAACAAAATTTCTCCCATATTATGCCTTTTAATGTTTATGGCTCTTAGTATCTAGTGCAGTTTATGAAAGTGTGCACAATTCACCAGATTGGTGCTCATGTATCAGGTGTTCCAAGGCCTAAGTTGTAAATGGGACAGACATATTTTTTATACATTATCACTTTAGTGGATTTATCAGTATTCTATGATCTTGATATTGATATGAAACAAAAAATGTAAATGTTGACAAACATTTGGGAAGCATAGCAGTTCTTCCAACAGTTAAACATGGCACCAGATGGCACCATATGACCCAACAATTCTGTTCCTATATATGCCCAAAGAAATGAACATGTACACACCACCTATAGTCATAGCACTATTGTTCATACTCTAAAAAATAGAAATCCAAATGACTATCAATTCTTGAAAAGGTAAATAAAATATTACATATATATGATGAAATGTTAATTGGCAAGTAAAACTGACTTTTTGTACTTCTACAACATGGATAAACAGGGAAGACATGTGAAGTCAAAGCAGGCAATCACAAGCAATACACACTGAATTACTGCATTCATACCAAATATCATACAGAAAGAAGAAATAAATACACAGGCACAGAAATCAGATTAATGGTTGCCAGGGGCTAGAAGGAGGAGAAAGCAATTGCTTATGAGTTTGGGGTTTCCTTTTGGAGAAGACAGAAATGCTCTGAAATTGATCATGATGACAGACACTAAAAGCTATGGAATTGTACACTAAGTGGGTCAATTGTATGACACTGAATTACATATCAATAGAGCTGTTAAGAAGTATCAGCAGACCTCAGAACTGGCTCGTTTTTTGCTTTTACGTGAGCTAAGTCTACACTCGTCTTTTGAGCGGCTACTTTTTATTTTAATTACTTATTAGGAAACTCAAGCTGTTCAGAAGTAAAGTGTTTGTAAAAGTGGTCTGCAATCGCCCCCACTGAGATATCGAGCCTTCAGAGGGTGTGGCATGATTTTGATTCTAAACTCTGTACCTGACCCTAAGGCTTCCAGGCCACCAGGGATCCCATTCTCCAGGTCCTTCTGCCCTGGATCTTCTTCCTTGAGTCTGTCCAGCTCCCTCAGCAGCTCTTGCTTGTCACTGCTGTCTGTTTTCTTTCTGTCTTGCCATCTTCATGGTGTCCCTCTCCTAGAGCTTTTCCCAGCTTTCATACACTACTGAAGTGGCTGCCATGACCTGTAACCCTCCTTGTCATGCATAATTAGCACTTCTTCAGTAGTGCCCTCCATAGCTCACAGGTATCTTTTTGGGTGTATACTTGCTTCACAACTGAGTTTTACATGATTCTACCTCTGCATGGCTGACAGCACACTTGATCTTGGCAACCTTGAACCACAGGTGCCTAATCATAAGTTTCTCAACCTGTGGGTCATGACCCCTTTGGGAGGTCACATATCAGATATTTATGTTACAATTCATAACAGTAGCAAAATTACAATTATGAAGTAGCAATAAAAATAATTTTATGATTGGGGTCATCACAACATCAGGAACTGTATTAAAGGGTTGCAGCATTAGGAAGGTTGAAAACTGCTGACCTAAAGCAAAGCTGGGAAGATCAGTAAATATGTCGAATAATGAGTAAGAAAGAGTGTACAAGAGAACATGACCACAATTCTTTAACTTAGTATGAATCCATTTTCAGGAGTCACTCCTAGGGGAGGGGCTGAGAGGCCAGGGCATCAATGAGTAGCAAGAACTCTACTACTGAGCCACCCAGCCCCTTTCTCTTTTGTTCTGAGATGGATCTTGCTAAGCTGCTCAGGCAGGCCTTGAACTTAAAATTCCTCCTTTCTAAGCCTCATGAGTATCTGGGATTTCAGGCTGACATGACCAAGCCTGATCTTTTTTTTTTTTTTTTTTTTTTTTTTTTTTTTTTTTTTTTTTTTTCTTTTTTTGGTTTTTCGAGACAGGGTTTTTCTGTGTAGCTTTGCGCCTTTCCTGGAACTCACTTGATAGCCCAGGTTGGCCTCGAACTCACAGAGATCCGCCTGCCTCTGCCTCCCAAGTGCTGGGATTAAAGGCGTGTGCCACCACCACCCGGCAAGCCTGATGATTTTTAAGAAATAATATATTCAGGTGTGGTGGTGCACACCTGCATTCTCAGCACTTAGGAGGATCACAAGTTTGGGTCTATACACCCCAGAGTGGGCTATACAGGAAAGCTCTGTCTCAAAACAATTGAGACAAAACAAAACAAACCCAAACAAAACAAAATACATCTGAAAAAAAAGTTCAAGAATTTACTTTAAAGGAAAAACATGTAGCAACAAATTTGATTTAATTTCGTTTACCAATGAAATACTATGGCAGTCAAGTTAGAGTAATTAGCTAAATAAATAGTTTCAAGTTCAAGACAAAGTAACATATAGTTATAAATACAAGCATAGGGCAGGCTATTTAGTGGTGTTCTAAAATACTCAATTCTATAAAATACAACTATTTATGTGAGTTATTAAAATTATATTTTTAATATAGAAAAATCCAATTCCTATGGGGATATTAAATCATATGACCAAGTAATGTCAATAAACGGGAGTCGGGCCCTGACCATAAGTTCCTCAGCCAGATCATGACGTGGCAGAGGGGAGGCAGGTTCAGATCCCTGGAAACTCTTCCCTGCTCACATCAGGATAGTAGAAGGGACTGGTTTCTACCAGGATTACAAATGAGATGGCAAGGAGATGCCAGAGAAGGAGAAGAATCCTGGCTCGTGGTTGCCTGAATTTCTATTCACAGACGGAAATGATCCATCCCAGATGTGAGAATGGGTTTGCTTTGATCTTGTCATAATACTGTCTTCAAGTATATTGTAATGAGTAGATAGTAACTAAACAAAAGGCTAAAGTTAACTGTTCACTATGGACAAGGGCTGTCTTAAGCCTTATATACATTTTCTGTCCTTATAAAAATGTTCTGAAGTCCTATAGATATATAAATGTACAAAAGAATAAATTCATTATAATTATTTTGCATATGGAAGAAAACAACAGAGGCCCAGAAAAGAACAAACTAAGCAACTAACCCTTAGGTAGTGTGGCCTACAAGGGGCAGGGTCACTAACAGAGCCTAGACAGTGCAGCCCCAAGCCTTGCCCTTAACCCCGGACTCTACAACCTCCATGGCATTTCCATGTATGTATAAGGGGAAGAGGGATGAGGGCAATAGAACAGAAAGTCAGAAAGTACTTCACACAAGGGAAAATGATTCATTAGTTTATTACCATCCCCTTTAATTTTGGAAACTTTTAGAAAATTAAGTGTAAAGAAATACAGCTAAAATGTCATAACTTCAAACCCTCAAGAACAACTTATTTATTTATTTATTTATTTATTTATTTATTTATTTATTTATTTATTTTGGTTTTTCGAGAAAGAGTTTCTCTGTGTAGCTTTGCGCCTTTTCCTGGAACTCACTTGTTAGCCCAGGCTGGCCTCAAACTCACAGAGATCCGCCTGCCTCTGCCTCCCGAGTGCTGGGATTAAAGGTGTGCGCCACCACCGCTCCACGTGCGTCCCTCCCGAAGCTGCGCTCGGGTGAAGAGGACAACCTTCCCAGAATAGAGGACCAGTCTTCCGGTCAAGGGTATACGTGTAGTTGTGCTCCCCTGCTAGAACCTCTAAACAAGCTCTCGAGAACAACTTTTAACCACACCAAATCCTTACTTTTACTGTTTAAAATGCTTGGAAAACCTGGCTCCATGCTTTCAGCCTTAAGTATGGAGAACAGCTAGCTGGAGAGGACTGTTTAAAGAGCATGCAGCTTCCAAGGGGGTGGCAGGTCAGGGGGATCTGCCCCCTGCAAAGCTCAAAGCACTGCATCCACAAGGCTGGGAGATTGCTCTGTCACTGAGGTAACTGGGTGCAAACATGAGTTTCAGCTTGATCCCCAGGACCCAGGACAAATCAAGGGTTAGTGGCCAATATCTGTAATCTAGTGCTGAGGGGAAAGGACAGGAAGCCTGGCCCCACTGGTGAGTCCCAGGCCCAGCGAGAGACCGGGCCTCAAAGACTAAAGTGGAGAGCAACCGAGGCAAATACCTGACATAAATCTCTAGCCCCCACATACATATGCATGCATGCCCACACAGTATTCTTAGCATCCTTCTACTCCTTTATTCTAGGAGATTCTGATACAGGAAACGTGGCAAATATTTTGAGAAATAAATGGTATCTCTGTTACTTCTAATAGGTAACATACAGAAATGCTATATTGAGCTGAAATTTATGCATGAATAAAGAGACTAAGCCTATATAGTTTTGATCTATAATGAGTATAAGAGGCAAAATTATCACCAAGAGATGAGCCAGAGAAAACAAGAACATTTCACAGTTTTAACTGCTTAGCTATTTTCTGGAAGCCAGAGCAATTAGTGAGCATTGAGAGTCTGGGAACAATCCAGTATTAGTCTTCAATTTTATGTTCCTCTTTCCTGTCATCAAATCTAAAAGCTCAGATCAGCAATCCTGAGACAAATGATACAGTAAAGATCAGCCAGCTACCGCTCCAGCACCATGTCTTCCTTCCCTTCTGCCATGCTTCCTGCCATGATGGTGATGGACACAACTATCCTCAACAGTGACTCCAAATTCAATGCTTTCTTTTGTAAGTAGCAGAAACAAATATGTATGCTTCTCTACAGCTCGTTGAATGGATTATATATATTCCATATAGTATATTACACACACACACACACACACACACACACACACACACACACACACAAGAGAGAGAGAGAGAGAGATTTAATCTAGGGCTAATAATGGAAATTTGACATATACAAGAAGTCAAGATTGCTACATTCAGATCTTGCAAGTGAACAAGCATAACAAATTCAAAATCACTAATTATAATCCCCATGCATTTCTATTATAGTTTTCTTCATATTCTACATTAGTCTCATCTTGACTGGGAATGCACATGTATATTCTCAAATAAACTTTAACTGGAAAATGTGCTATGTCATATATTCCTTGATAGCACTGGGTATCAAACTAAATGAGGTAGCAGGAGGTAGGACCTGACTGGAGGAAGCTGGTCCCTGGGGTGGCATTTGAAGGGTATGTTATGTCCCTGGTCTCTTCTCATGTTTCTGTCTCTCTTTGCTTCCTGGCTGCCATGATGTGAGCATCCTTTCTTTGCTGCACCATTGTGGCATGATGCTCATAGGACCATAGGACCATAATCAGCAGAGCAAGCAAGCTACTAAGTGAAACCTCTGAACGGTTCCTTTCTAAATGTGTTTACCTTATAACTTATCTGATGCCTCAGTGAGTAAAGGTATTTGTTAGGCATCAAGCTTAAGCCTCTGCGTTCCATCCCATGAAACTACATGGAAGGAGAGAACCAACTCTTAGAAGCTGTCTTTTGATCTTCACACACATGCTATGGCATGGGTGTGCCCACATAAGTAAATGAAGACAATAACAACTTACCTGAAACCTTAAAACCCAATAAGCAGAATTTATTGGAATATTCCCCCCAATAACATTCCTCTGTCCCTCACTGTGCCTGATGACATCACTATCTAACAGGCTAACATCTTAGGATCGGTGCATAAGAAAATTCTATCAACATTACACAAAAATAAAAATGACAGCTGTACTCGCCTCTCTCCGTTTCTCCTTCTCACACCTCAGGCAAGCCTAGCATCACTCTTCACAGCTCTTTCAGTTTCCTGATTAATGTCTTGGCTTCTTCTACTAAATTCTAGCCACATCTGCCTCCTTTTAGTCCCTCAATAATCTGACAAAATTCCCAATCTAGGTCTTTGGGTTAGCTGATCCTTCCAGAGTGTTTTTTCTCAGTGATTTCCAGAATGTTGTCCTTTAAGCCTTCCAAAGGAGGCCTTTGTAATTCACCAGTCTCCAGCTCATTTTCTTCCCTTCCAAGCAGTCACCCCTGATTGTCTCAGAGGCACAAACTAAGTGCCTGGGTCCACAGAGATAGTGAACAGCTGAGCCTGCCTTTAAACCAGCAAAGTCTTCTTGGTCCATATACTGTACATGTGTTTTCTACAAAGTAGATAGCTGTAGAGAGCAGAGCTCATGCCTCATTTGTGGCTTATAATTGGTTCTTGATGAGAGAGAGAGAGAAAGAGACAGAGAGAATGGATATTAAAACAGTAAGTAGCTAGCGCAAACATTGAAGATGGGAGCTGGCTTGACTATAAATTTTGTAAAGAAAAGCTACATGTTTAACTAGACTGAACAACTACATAAGTTGTATCATTGATCCTACAATAGAACACTAGGCCATATAATAGGAATTTCACACTAAGAAACGTGCAATACTTTCAGCAAATGTAGGGCCATTTCTAGAGTCAAATGATGTTGTCCCTCTTGAAAAATGACCAAATGGAATTTGACCAAAGAAGTAGAAAGCTTATATGGATGCTGGGACAGGATGAGATGGGCTATGAGGACATACATTTGATGGTCCTCCATCTGAAAACTTTGAAGCAAAAGTTTCTTTTGCTGTGACGGAACAGGAAACACCTGTACAGGGAAGTGCAATGAGAAGATGGGAAGGGCGCACACCTGGCACGGCATGGCGGTGAACCTGCGCTTCATCCGGGAGTGGACTGCAGACATCTCTTTCAACTCTGACCTCAGTGTCATCAAGTCAACCCCCCAGAAGATCAGCATGGGCAAACAAGTTCCATGGAAACCCCAGACTCCGCCACATCCTATAGCAGGCTCCTTCTACTCAGAAAGAGCCGGCTTACTAGGTACAGGATTGAATTTTACCCAATTAGAGTGGCTAAAACAAACAGACAGACAAACAAAAAGTACAGGATGGGTAGTAATTAAGAAGGAGGAAGGAGAGTAAAAAAAATAGTAAGTATGCCTGAAAAACTCATAAGGAAACACTAGCTACCAAAAAAAGGAAAGGAAGAAAGACAGAATGAAGAGAGAAAGGAGGAAAGGAAAGGAAAGGAAAGGGAAGGGAAGGGAAGGGAAGGGAAGGGAAGGGAAGGGAAGGAAAGAACTGAAATACACGTAATTCTGTGTATAAATACACACATTCAATTTAGATGAAATGTCCTCAACTGGGCTGGCAATACTCCCTCTAAGGGTCAAAGACCATCTAACAAAAGCCCCAGCACCAGACAGGAGAAGGCCTCTTTTGAGTTGTTGGTAAGGGTCCAAAACTCAACAGAATATTCTATTGCTCTTGTTTGTCCCCCAGAGGTGGAAGGTGAGTTCCCATTGCTGAAGACATCATGCACTTCAGACACAGGGCCCAGATGGCCCTGAGTTGGAACTGACCTGAAAACCTCTTCCCTCAGTACTAGCTTTCTTGGTACTAGAAGATGTATGCAAGCTTCCAAAGGAAGAAAGCAACTCAGAGTCCTAGCAAGCTATGATGTCTGAGCCACAGCAATGAGCAGCATGGCATGATAATCCTAAGGGTGTAGTAGTAGTGGCACATACACCTTGGCAGTAACCAATAGCTCTCTGGTTGGCCTTAAGACTCATTCAACAAGAGAGAATCCATATCTAGTACTGGAAATCTAGCTAACTACCAGGGCTGGTGAAGTCATGGATCTTAGAGGAGAACCTACAACTGCCACCTTACTAAACCAGCATCATCCTTAACTATAGTCAGAATCTTTACCCTTATATCCATGGATAAGTGTAGTCCTTACCCCTCACCAAGGAAGTTTTCCTTTTCAATGGATGGAGACCGTTACAGAAAAACACACCAATCAAAATGCAGATTTGTAGAGACCAGTCACAATGGATGCATCTACAAAACACTCCTACACTTAAGGCTTAGATAACATTGTAGAAAAAGGGGATGGAAAGACTTTTAAGAACCAGCAGATCAGGGAGTTTGCTTTGAGACTGTGTCTTCTAGTAATATCAGAAGCTATACCCATAAAGTCTTACCAACAAGACTGTCTAACCATGGGCTGAACAAAGGCAATAACAGTAGACATGCCAAACCGGGTAGAGGAAAGCCTATGGGATCTCAACCTATATTAAATACTATGGCTCTAAGGGAGGCTAAAAGTGGGAGAAACAGTTTTGCCCAGGGGAGAACACAACAATTGGTCAGCCCTGAAGACATACACATGAGTAACATTATACAGACTGAACTAGTTATTTATATTTAACAATATACATATATATCTATAGCCATATATGTATGTAACAACAATTAATTTAAAAAGGAATCATGAATTTGAAAGAGAGAAGGGGGGGCATATGGAAGGGTTTGGATAGAGAAAGGGAAAAGGGGAAATAAAGTAATTAAAATCTCAAAAGTAAAAGAGTAAAAAAATGTTCAATGTAAAAAAAAGAATGTAGTAGAAGCTGAGCAACTGAAAGCAAGGTTTCTATCATCAATGTGAAAAACCATTTAATGAGAGATACAACATGCTGTACAAGCAGATCTCCGTCCGCTGAGTTTGATTTGGTTACTTCTTTTTTGCTTTTCTAGTATCTGCAAAACACTATCAATAAAATTCACTCATTCAAAGAGATAGTTTGTTTTTTAAAAATTTTCCATCAATATCTTTTTTAAAAAAACAAACAAATTAGCTAGATATGGTGGTGCATGCCTTTAATTCCAGCACTCCTCTCGAGGGAGGTAGAGGCAGGTGAATCTCTGTGAGTTTGAGGACAACCTGGTCTACATAGTGACTTTCAGGACAACCAGAGGTACATAGTGAGACCCTGTGTCAAAAAAAAAAAAAAAAGAACAAACAAAATAAAAATTGTCCAAAAAAAAAAAAATCCCAAATGACATGATACTTTAAAACAGAGCGTAATTGTGATCTACTGTGGTGCCCTCCACCTGAGGCAAGGGTTAAACATACAAAGTCAAACAGCAATCCTGAACATGGCAGGCAGAGAACAGTTATAAGACCAGGTCTCATGTAGCTCAGGCCTCCCACCTCTACTTCCCAAGTAGTAGAGTTACATGTGTACCACTAAACCTGGAAATTTTATTATATATTTTCATATTCATAATATTATACCTATAAGTAGGGATTTTGATCAAATAAAGACTTACAAATGACTGGTGAACGTACTACTATTTTCAGAAGGCAGCACTGATTTTTGTCTTTTACTTTTTTTGTTGTTTGTTTGTTTTTTTCGAGACAGGGTTTCTCTGTGTAGCTTTGTGCCTTTCCTGGAACTCGCTTTGTAGACCAGGCTGGCCTCGAACTCACAGAGATCCGCCTGGCTCTGCCTCCCGAGTGCTGGGATTAAAGGCGTGCGCCACCACCGTCCGGCCTTGATTTTTGTCATTTATATACTCAAAATATTTTTGTAACTTTCAGTGATAGTTTTTAAGAAAGTAAAGTATATTATAGGTGTATTTTCCTTTGTCATTATTCTTTTAATATCTCAGATCCCCCCATGTGAAATAAAACATTTTTACTTAATTTACTACCAGTGCCAGGATTGAATAAACAATATACAATTATGTATAGCTGTGTGTGTGTGCAAACATATGTGAGACAAAATTTAAGGCAAAAGATAGACATGAAATCAAGAACACTACATGAGATTATACATGAAAAATTCATGAAGATTGACATTTATGGCTCCAACATTTCCATTTTGAG